TGTCTCTGACTAGACCTTCATGCCTGAGAAGGTATCCTACAGGTCGGACGAAGGAAGTTGGCGAGCGGTCGCGCAGATACTTGCCCATTTATGACTTATTTGGGTAAGGCACTTGGAACCGATACACAAATAAGCTTTCAGTAGGCGTAAATTATAGTATTAATACAGATAGGACAGTAGCGTACTAGAAAATAATGTAGAAACATAATTTAATTAATAAATCTATTACTTTTGTTTTATAGTCAGTTTTCATATTCACTGTCATCATGGGAATCTTTATCACTGTCACCAACATCAACAATTAGTTCTTCTGTTTGTATGTCTATTACTTGTTCATGGATTCCTATTTTTAAATATTTAATCTACGCCCCTGATAGGAATACTGAAGAATGAGGGCTGCAATCTTTATACCTAAAACTGCCTACTTTTGCCACCGCGCATCCACGCCATTTTAAAATTTTCGCCAGCTTCCAGCGTCAGGCCTGTACCAACCTATCTCACCTATTTCTTATTGACTTCCATAGAGTCCTCTGTTCTCCTATTCTTTCTAATACCTTTATTTCATCGATAATTTAATTCAAAAAACGCCACATTTGACGCATTCAAGGCATAATTCAGCGATCGGAGAAGACTTGGGAGGGAGGGGGGGCTAAATGTCTATATTCGGGTGCATGGTTGGTTGCATGTGCATGCATCATGCTGTACTATTCATCAAAAAATCTTGAACTAGCAAAAAATTTATTAATACAACGGAAATACTCAAAATTATGACATCTTTTACAACTAAATGTTAATTTACTTTGTGAATTTACAACATCAAATGATTCCTCTCTCTCTCTCTCTCTCTATAATGACCCTTAATCAGTAACATATCTATCGTTTTCCTGGCAAAAAGGTTCCACCCTGTATATATTGACATTTGTAAATTATCTACCGAATTATACATAATCAAAACATGTCCTTTCTGAATATATTAGCGAATTTCGAAGTCGATCACTTTTACTCTCACGTAAGTATCCAGGTTGTGCGCTTATTTTCGCTGAACTTGACACAAAAGGTGTCGTTCACAATAATTAAACACAAGGGCGCGTACTTGAGACAGTTGTGCAGATCCTCGTTAAACACCTAATATCACATTATATATATTTTTATGTGCCTACGTATAGGTATCAATACACAAACGTATAGAATATAATGTAAGAATACACCATGCAAATCCGTTACATATACATATAGGCGAGTTCATTGCCAACTTTGTCGCATCTAATTTGCATTAGGAACTTAAAATTTATTAGCGCATGATGAGGAATGCTGATTGGAACTCACATGAAGGACGATTTTGTGATAAATATTATTTAGACTGGTTGAACCCGTCCAAAATTGGACGGATGGGTGTCATTGTCAGTTTACATATTATTCAAGACGATCTCCCATATTATGATCTACCCTAAGGTTTTGCTCAAATAAGAACTTATAAATATCAATTTTTTAAGGTTGGTATAGGCTACTTCACATTTCTACAATTGCATAGTTCAAAGGACAAAATTATTAAACGATAACATCCTATCTGTCTTTTGATTAGACGTTTCAATGGTCGACTAATTCCAAAATATTCCACTATCGGCGTAGATAGATGCTTATAATTTGATTGCAAGACAAAATCGCTTCCTTTCTCATTTTAAACTTTTCAATAAAGTCTGATAAAACTTTAAAGTCCATAAAAAGCTAAATCGATCGCTTTTTCATTCACGCTTGATCAATTTTTTACAATCTTTAACCGAAAAGTGGAATTTTCAACAGTTTCTTCAACCAAACATTCAGTTGCATTACCAAGTTCCAATTGTCCAGTTTTTGCAATTGGCATTCACGAAGCAAACTATTGAACATGAAAACCTAAATATGTACTGACAAACGTCGTTCTTCAAGGCAACATCCTTAAACCCGAACAGGAGCACCTTCAACAGTTATTCCTTGAAATCCTGGACCATTATTAAATTGTAGTGAAATCATTGGCAAAAATTTTGTTCGGATTCTCTGCGTCATGTGTTATAAAATATTTTATTACGTGAATTACATCTTAGCGACTCTTTATGTATACTACTTCACTTAGAAAATTAAAATTATATATCAAATCCAAAACTATAGAGTCTACATTTCAGTAACATTAAATGAATGTATTTGCGTAGAAATATACGAAGTGTTTGTACAGAAATATAAAGAAATACTGCCATGAGCTATTGTTACTTTTATTACTGTCACTAACATTAAAGTTATAACTACGTACCTACCAAAGAATCTAATTATATCCACAAGATATGCCGGAATAGATCGTTGGCATTAATACAACAGGTGATAGTTTCAGAACTACTAAAATAATTTGAAATTTGTTACATTACTATACTTCTCAGGAAATAACATCAGCCATCTTGACAGAAAATCAATAAACCTAAAGACAACTTGATAGGAAGTATTAGCCTTTAAATTGCTCTAGATCCTTTCAGACATCCAAGCAGCCTGAACAACAATTATAATGTAATAATAAGGTCGGAATGATAACAATATCTGAACGATGATGATGACATTCTTTGTAACTTTCGTAAGCAACAAATACAGCTCATCATTTATGAAGAACCGAACATCGACCGTCCCACTTTTATAGCTTTTGTGCCACATTAAAGCGCGAGCACTATAGTTATTACAAACAATCATTTTCTAGTAAAGAAAAAAGCATTGGGTTGCGTGTGAATACATCAGTTACGGTATCTAGATACCGTGTAAATAACAAAACGAAGCTAAGGACAGAATATGACCCAATTTTTTGGAGATATGTCCTTTATAAAATAACTCCTTACTTATTGAATCCGATCGAATCCATATCTCAATACTGACTTACATCATAGGTGTGTTGCACGTAAAAACGACAAACGCAGTATGCTATGAATAATAACAAAGTAAATCAAGTGTAAACAATTATATTATTATTGTAGGAAAGCAGTATTTGATTCATATTCATATTCTTTTGTTTTCTTGAAATAAATTACACAAAAATTTTTATGCACCACATGGACATATGGAAATGGTTTTCTGCAAAACATTGTCAAAGTCTTTGAATTGTAAACTGACGGTTCAGCAAAGATAGACACAGTTAGTGAATATAAGGGTATTTGTGCAATCCAATTAAGAGTCCTTTAATCTTGTTAGAGGACTGCTAAAACCGTTCCTTTATTAACTCTCTTTTTTAGAATTGTCGTTTCTACTAAACTAAATATCTTTTTTTTCAAAGCATAAGGGCGATCTATTCAAAAAATCCATGAACATACACCAAAATAGTCGTTTGCTAATTACAAAAATTATATGTATATGTCAAACAATTTTTATCTGTCTGCCTGTTCAAACAGATTTAACTCAAAAATCGAGTTATTGTCATATGTTTTACGGATGTTATAAATAGTAGCACACAGACCAATTTATTTTTTGTCTCATCGTGTTATTTTAAATAGTTTTGAAGTTATGATGATGTCAGTATTTCAGAAACATGCTCAAAAGTACACGCGAACCAAGCCACGAGCACACAATTTGTTGATGAGAGATGAGATAAGTTAATTCAGAAAGATGACTTATCTCGTTGCTCAAATGGATTTAGGCATTTAATTAGTAAAGAGTAAAAATGGTATTGGTCTTGCAGTTTTATTTTATCTTGTCCAAATCTTGCACTCTTAAAAATAATTAAACAGTTTTAACCATTCCTTGAAATAAACTCTCAAAAAAAAAATAAAAAGGCGCATATTTTTTGTATTAACAATATACTGGGTGTCGCCGCAAAAATAACTAATTTATTCACATTTATCATGTCAAAAATATCTGAAATTGTATGCCGGTTGGTATCTAACTTTGTTGTAAGATGTACAGGATAATTTAGTTGATTAAAAACAAAAGACAAAATAATCTTTGATCGCTAGTTTCTCTTTGAAGAATATCGATAAATGAAGATCAAGACCTGCTATGGAAAAACAATACCAAGTACGATAACAGGTACAAATACATGTATTAGTCATTAACTTATCTAATGGAAATTTTTACAAACCATCGGTAAACTTTATTATAATTCTAGTACCATTGGCGTGCGGTTTTCACATGGAGATTATAAAAAGTACATTCGGTTCACGTTTGGTCTTTAAATTTGTGAAGGTCCAGTTCGAGGTGAACGTGCGTGTTTTCGAAAGGTCGCCGGTGTTTACAAATGTTAAATGTTGGGATACTTTCTTTGATTATTTATTAACCCATTAGTACAACATGTGCAATCTTTTTTTTAAAATAATCTTTTACAGTTACGTTATAGGGATTTGTCAAACAGTGGCGTGTTGTAGGGGTAGCTATGGGACCATAACGATGATACACATATATATGTTTAAATAATCTGTATGTAGAATTCTAAGATAATAGTAAACTTAGAACTTATAACAATAGTAAGTACAAAAATTTGTAGCAATTTATTGTCTATTAAAAATAATATTTGAAAAATAATTATTTTCTTATACACATTTACTATTTGCTATGATGGAAGTTTACTTGAAAGGAATTGAAACATTTTTTAAGTTTATTTTTGTCAAGCAAAGACAACAACTGAATAAAATAAATGAGAAAATAAAGTCTCAAAACATATTGACCGGATTCTGTCTATATGTAGGTCAAAGGACACAAATCCTTACTCCAAACAAAAGAAAATTGTCTTCACACTCATTTTCTTATCAATCCTACGCAGTGCAATACGTTTCAGTATTGGAATTTATGAAGGGCAAAAAACCGAGCGGATTTTCAACAAATATATTCGTTATGCATGGACTTTCAATCCATCCCTTAATCCCATAATCAAAATACGAAGTTTAATTGGAAAATCTAATCTATTTTTCCAATAATAATTATTGTCCTGAAGTATTAAATTAATAGACATTGATAGGTAAAATGTTTAGATGACTTAAAGTGAGTTTTATAATTCTTACCTGGTCTATTAAAAATAAAACAAGTATTTTCATCGTCCTTCTTTTCTTGCGCGGTGTATTCATCGAAGTTCAGTAAAATTTCGTATGACTTTTCACTTTCACTGACATTATCTTCTTGTTTGCTATTTGTATAGGGCGATTGATCCCGAATATCGGACAACAGGACCATATCTAGTTCAACTTCTGCACTAGGTATTCTTTAATTAATAATAACGTCTAACTGCGTTAGTTAACATTTTAATTCTGAAGTTAATAGCTATTTACCTACAACTAGGTACATATGTATTGTTTTATGTTACAAAAGTGCAACAATGAGAATTTATCAACAAATGCTTATTATCGCAAATACGTCTACAGTTTCAGTGTAATACAAAATGAAATATGATTTGGCAATGTCAGTAACATTTATTTAACTTTAATATTAATAAAAGAACTGGTAATTTTCCATTTACATCAAAAATAGTTTAACAATATATCTGAATATGTCATCAATTTAGCAAAGAACTTGTAAATAGTGCGAATACAGTTAAATTGTAATTGATACCGACCAGTTTTTCTTTACCAAAAATGGTGGGCTTTGGTTTTCTTAGTATCAACAAGAGTATAACAATCCAATTATCTAAATTGAAACCGAAACGTAGACAAAACACGTTATTAAAATTTGAATGAAGATGTCATCTAAAGAAACTCAATCATTATGCAAATGAAGACGATGGCATTCCCTCATTAAAGTGGTATTTTCATGAGACAGGCTTTAGAACCACCTGAGACAACGTTCAGTGACGTCGTTCGCAAATTCTAAAATATTTTAGAAGTTGAGAATTAACGCAGAAAAGTATTAATATTTTAGGATTTAGCAGACATTTATTAAATGCCGAGTTTTGATTTTCCTAGCGTTCCTAATACGTATGCATAGGCAGTAACTCATACCCAAAATTTTGCTAGGCAATGGTAGTAGGTTCTAATTTACAATTAATACTTGTCAAACAGCGTAAAAAACTTCGTTTCTACCAGGTGTTCTTAATATATTAACCATCATTATCATCATCATAAAGTCGTTAGTCCTAAAACTGGTTGGACACACCTCCACTTTTTCCGGTTCTGAGCTAATCTTCGCTTTTCCCTAAAACTAGATCGTTACATATCCTTAACCTTTTGTGAACAATAATCTAATCTTCTGTCTACCTCTTCTCCTCTTACCTCCTGTATCTGCTTCCAATACTTTCTACCATGAAGGGCTTACACCTGAGAACATGTCTTACCAACCTATTTCGCCTATTCCTTATTGACTTACATAGTGACTTCTGTCTCCTATTCTTTCTACTACCTCCTCATTTCTAACCTTCTCTATCCACGGTATCCTCATCATTCGCTCTTTCCCATCCCTTTGATAATATTTTATCATATGCCTCCCTGTATTTCGCCGCCTCTGTCCCATTCTTCAGTCTTCTATATTATCAGTACTGCCTTGCGCAAGAAATAACGTTATACAATAATTTAAATCCAGTTACCACCCTTGGCTTCCGAACGTTCGGTGTGTTTTTACGAAAGTTTGTTTAAATTCCCGTCGACTTCACGATGACGTATAGAAACAATAAAAGTTCTATAATATGCCCAAAATTAACTAATCAATAATAATTAATAACGTTATTAAATTGAGTACGTGTTGTCAGAAATGGCGGAGAAACTCCTGGAATACCAGGGGTACCTTGGATGGCTTCACACATTTCGGGATAATCAAAAGGAAAAGTGGGTGGCATGGAAAGAACAACATCCTGATGGAATAAAAGGAGTGTTCAAAGAATTAGCAGCCAGTTTTTCGACACAATCTGATAGTTCCGTTAGTTCTGAAGATTTCTCTCATGTGTATAGGTACCTGTATATATTAATCTTCATTTATGTATATTATGGCTAAAATCCAAACTAATGGTGTGTATATATGAAAAATGTGCACATGTAGAGTCCCAGTTTGCTACAGTTTATCTAACCAAATGTGTTTTAATTAGGCATAGATAGGGACCTAAATACTCATCAAGGTTTTTCCAAATTTTAATATAGTTTTGTTCCTTTTGAAAGAAAACAATGCTGGTACAATACGTTTTATGCATGAATTTCTTTATTTTCTTTACTCGTTTTAAGGAAAAAATCCCGAGCAGAATTGGTCAGAATTTCAGCAGCCGTCATGGGCATAGAATTTTCATACGCTGCCGAAACGGCTTTTGTATCACCAACACTTCTCAAAATTGGCGTGAAACATGAGCACATGACTCTTGTTTGGGCCTTATCACCTTTAATAGGATTCTTCCTGACACCGATCCTAGGGTCACTGAGCGACAGGTGTCAAATGCGACTGGGACGACGGAGACCCTTCATTTTAGCAATGTCTCTAGGAGTTCTTCTAGGTAATAGTTTTTATCTTTTACCTGACCCTGCCTTTACCACTAAATTATGTGAGTGTCTTTTAAGGCTTAATTTTGGTTCCAAATGGAGAAAACATGGGTTACGCTTTTGGCGACAAGGAATTTTCTTCAAACTTTACATTAAGTTCTTCAGCTAAAGTAGCAGTATTAGTTGGTGGGTCGTCTCAAAATTCAACCAATATAATTATTCAAAATCCTTATCACCCTTGGGGAGTTTTCTTCACTGTTTTGGGAACAGTTCTTTTGGATTTTGACGCGGATGCATGTCAAAGTCCAGCTCGGGCATATCTCTTGGATGTGATAGTGCTCGGTAAGATAACACGACATATTTTGAGGCACTCTGGATTTTTGTAGGGTTAATTCAATGCATGAATCAAAAAATTAATTCACTAATACATCATATACTCATTGATATCTTAAAAACTATGTTACAATGACCTCATAGCTACGCTACTTTCGCTTGATTGAAACTCAAAGTCTATTGTACAATAAAATGTAAATTGTATCCGAACATGAAGTCTTTTGCTTATAATATCTGCAAAACCGTTCCGCCAGAAAATCGATTTAATGGTTCTAGATGAGTCGCGATTGATAACACGTTAAATTAATTAACTGAAACCCACCGGCGGCCATTGACAGAGAAGCAAGGCGTTAATTTGAAAGTAAAATTATTTTTGTAGTGGTTTTTACGTATGCACACCTACGAGATTTACCGTATCTTTTTTGTTACTATCCTTAACATCATTCTTGCTTAATTGGCGAACTGTTTCAGATGACCATGCCAGAGGATTAAGCACGTTTACTGTGATGGCCGGTCTTGGAGGGTTCATGGGGTATGCTTTAGGTGGTATTAACTGGGATTCCACTGCTCTTGGTACATATATCACATAAATATTTGTTTAGACAGATTTTGTTTTCCCTACATCACAATGGGTAATAGATTAGTAAAAGTAGACATAGGAATAAGGACAATTGGACTATAAAAATCTACTTCAAAAGATTTTAGTTTTACATCAACAAAATTATTTATAACGCCGTTTTGGATCTGATCTCGCACACACAAGGCTTATTTATCATCATCTTTGACATGCATGCTTAAGCTAAATTTTCCGCTATGACATTAACGTTCTGTTATGGATGTTTATTATAAAAGCACATTCTTTTTACACAAACAAATTTCATTACAATTAGTGGTAAAGGTCTAGATGATGGCCCCCACCCCCGAAGTGGTGGTGGTGGGGGATCGAAAGAGGAGGTCTCCCCCGCCACTGTACCATAAAAAGTTCGTGGCGGTCTCACCCCCATAAAAAATTATGGGGGTTCAAAGTTAATAAATATGCCAATTTTTATACATTTCTAGGCATGTAAATATTTTTATGGTCATTCTTAAACAATATTCAAAGGTAAAACTAATGGAAAAATACAGAAAGATATTGAGAAAGTTATATAAAACATTATTTAAATATCTTTATCAATAGGGTAGGTTAGGTTAGGTTGTCGGATTTTGTTCAAGTGACCACCCGCTTTCGATCCTCCACCCGCTTGAAAATAATTATTTTATTGAATTTTATTTGAATTATAGTGTATTAAAATTGTCAAAATGATCAATTCCAACCCCCATAACTTTTTATGGGGGTGAGACCGCCACGAACTTTTTATGGTACAGTGGTGGGGGAGACCTCCTCTTTCGATCCCCCCAGAGGGGCCATCATCTAGACATTTACCTAATTAGTAGTTATTTTAAGGAGCTGGACCCATTATGCTAGTTATGCTAGGATCACAATATAAATTTTTGTTTTTTTACTGTGAATGGACACATTACGTTGTGGTTAATTTTTCCTGTCGCTATAAACCTATCATTAATTTCCTCTTCGTATTTCTTCCGTAAAATATGTTTTAGGGGAGTATCTTGGAGGACACGTCAAAGCAGTATTCACCCTCATTACATTCCTCTTTATTATTTGTGTGACATGCACAATTACCAGTTTTAAAGAGATACCGCTGTTCGTATTGGAGAAAGGAGAAAAATTAGAGTTTGTGGATTTGTCCAAACCCAAATCGAAACATCCAAAGGAATCCGATAAATTTGACGTTACCGCAGAAGCAAATTATGGAACCACAGAAGAACTAGAAAACGTACTTAGAACTGTCATGCAGTATTAGGTATAGCTACCCATCAATATCAAACGCAAATGCGAACCTTTTGTAGAGTTCACCAGAGAATCCTGAAGACTGTGACGATGAAAAGGGTTATCAGAATATGCCAATGGAAAGAAGCGAAAGTTTTTCAACCCCTCCAGCTGAAGCGTCTTTACGAATTTATTTAAAAAGCATCATACAGATGCCGTCGTCCCTTAGAATCCTTTGTGTTACGAATTTGTTTTGTTGGATGGCTCACGTTTGTTACTCCCTTTATTTCACTGATTTTGTGGGAGAAGCTGTTTTTGGGGGAAATCCAACAGTAAGTACACAATCTAAATTCTTTTGCCATTAACATAATTTGCTATTCATATACATAAAATAACAGATATTTATCAACAAATTTTGTACTTTTTCGTCTTTGCAGAAACTACTTCGAATTTTATGATTTGCTTTGTACTTCACTTAACCATTTTTAACCAATGGTGCTCATGCAAGAGTCACTCTCAAATATTCTAAATAATTGTTAAAATAAGTTTATTTAATTTAATTTTTAGCATTAAGCAACAATAAATTGTTCAAAAGTCACAAATTTAATCACATCTTTTAAAGGCATTGAAGGGCACATTACTTCATGAACAATACGAGTCAGGAGTTAGATTTGGATGTTGGGGGATGTCCATGTACTCCCTGTCATGTGCATGTTACTCTCTCGTCATAGAAAAATTAATAAACATTTTGGGGTAATTTAAATAAAACGGAAGGAATTAGTGTGCATATCGGCTGAATGATTCCTTATCTTTCTTTTAGAGCAAAGAAGGTATACATTTGCGGTCTTCTAACTTATTCTACTGGAATGTGTCTGATGGCTCTCACCAAGCATAAAGTTGGAGTAATTTTGTTCAGTTGGACTGCCGGAGTTATGTACTCCACCCTCTTCACGATGCCTTACCTTTTGGTAGCACATTATCATGCAAAGGGAGTTGTGAGTTACAATGAGAAGATTGGGAAGACGCAAATATATTTTCGTTTTTTGATACCTACTTATAGGAATGAAAGGCTCTTGAAATATATTGCACCGTCCATATGTGATCACTGAGTCAGCATATTCTGTTTGCGAATACTTTGTTTTGTTTTGATATTTTCACTCAACTTATTTTTGTATTTTGTGGTAATAATAGTAACTTTTCCAATCGAATGGCAGCTACGGAGTGCACTAATCGCCACACGTGCAATTCACCTGTCTGTGTGCCAGCTGTTGTGAAGGTCATGAATAGGTAGGAGTGTTTAACGCGACTATCGAACTCACTGTCAATGTCCCAATCATTGATGGCTCGCTTACAGGAGTATTTTTTGTGCATACTTTTTACGAAATGCATTCCACACTGCCTCCAGATGTTACCTTCAAGTATCATGTATTCCAGAATACTGATCAGACGTTAGTCAGCATCTGGTGGTAATTTTCACATTATTTTCATCTTGTCTTGCTAAATGTCCAACAGCAAGACAGGACAAGACAAAATTGTAACCCCAGTTGTTGTTTTCCTTTTGTCGACGTACAGAAAATCGATAACAGAAAACCAAACATTTGTCTTCTACTTCTACTAATTCATGTATTTTTGATTTTGATCTTTGACATTTGAAGTGGAAATTTAAATAATTAACACCAAGTTTTCTATTTTGGGTAACAGATATCGCCATTTAGTCTGTGAGTTTGTTAGAACAATTTATTTAGTGTCAAATCCAGCTATCATGTAGGTATCTACCAAAAAACGAAAATAAGTTTGCAACACCCCACTACTCACTACTTTGGCTCAAATTCAGACTAGTTTTGGATAAACTCATCATTTTAATATGCCAAATGTTTTAGTTCGAAGTTACCTCAGAAGGCGAAGAAAAAACTGGCAATCAACTTCGCGGTTTAGGTACAGACATCGCTATTGTATCGAGCATGGTATTTTTAGCCCAATTTATTCTTTCCATGTGCATGGGTACAATCGTCAGCGTGTCGGGTACCACAACGGCAGTGGTGGCTGTCGCTAGCGCCCTTGCATTTTTTGGAGCCATTTCCGCCACACAAGTTATGTATTTAGACTTGTAAACTGAACAAGTATTAAAAGCTGTTAAATAATTGTTAAGAACAATTGATTTACGAGTTAAGAGTGAGTGGATTGTACGATAAAATACCTAAGTACTTGATTTTCTTTGTGTCCTATATGTCAACAGTGTTTATTTTCAAAAGAATAAACAAACTAATACAGCCACCTTTCTAATAAAAAAACTAATCGATAAGCATCTAAAAGGAACACGGAAGAAAAGCTCTGTTGGGTTCAAAACTAATTGAGCTTTGACTAGATTTTCTAATAGTCCTTTCCTAGACCTTTTAGTGAGAGTGAAGACAGACACGTGATTCACCATTCATCGAATGTGACCATTATCAACTTGAGAATGTTGATAATACTCACATTGAAAGATTATAAAATTCCAATATAAAAATACTTTTTTACAATAAGAAACAGTTGAAGAAATTCTGTGACCTGGTAGATAAGTGCGTTTTGTAGCTAATTCTACTGTCACCTTTCGTAGCTCAGTAGTCAGAGCGGTGGTATATAAAGGCAAAGGTCCCGGGTTCGAATCCCGGCGAGAGTATGACAACAGCAACAATTTTTCGTGCAAACTTCTTCAAAAAAAAAAAGAAAATGACGAACAGTTTGACAATTGTACCAATGTTGACGTAGTTTTTTGTTTTCACGATCCTTTTTCGGGTTCATAGCACTACATTATGTTTCCAATAGTGGGATTACATTTTAAAACTCATTTTAAACTGATAACAAAGTTTATGTTAAACATCTAAAAGATGTGCTTCTAAGATTGTATGCAATAAGTAGATACAAGTAAGAATAACATGTGAAAAAGTTACATCATAAAAATATTATATCCGGACGTGTATTAATTAATAAATTAACAATGTCACTGTTAATAACATGACATATGTTTATAGACAATTAACGAAACATTCGAGAATTTTCGGTCTAATTACAACAACACCAACACTACAAATTCCATCTAAGTAAATTAAATTTTATTCTAGCTATAAATAAACAAATTTTTAATGCCAAAATTGTTTTATAACGTTCTTGGCACAACATCGTTAAGGCTCCAAACAAATCATAGGAGCAGTGGGTATAATCGGTAAAGGCAAGTTAATGCTGGTTTCAACTACCGGTCTAAACACAACAAAACACTTAAGGTAGATACAGCAGAAATCTTTTGTAAACATTGCTCGTATTTCAAAACGTTGTTAATTACATGTATACTGATCATCAGTTACTGTTAATAACTTCTAGCAACAAACGCAAAATTCATGGAAATACATGGGTGCATACAGGGCACTCAAAATATAATTTAGAACCAACCATAAAACTAAACATTCGTTTCATTGCTGCAGATTTCATTGTAATTCATTTGCAAAGATCAATCGTGCTAAAGTAGCATGCAAGTTTCGTAATGAAGAAGGAAGACACAGATATAAAACAGCACACAAAACAATTTCTTACAGGTTACTTCGAAAACAGGAATAATCCTCACTGACCATTGTATGATTTCCGTGGGATAGTTTCATGGTGGTCGAACGAAGCTACCAAATCGCATTCTGCCCAAGACACACAGGATTTTGAAGTGATTTTTGCCATGAATGAGGAGCTGCATTACAGCACTACCAAAAGACTACTGAATTTCAACAGTTGCCAAATTTGAAGTCAGTCAGTAGCACGGCCAGATAAAAACACATTATTTAAACGCTTTCTCGTCTAAATACATACAAATACGAAGTTGGCCTTGTTACAAAAAAGCACTAATGAATGAACGGATTTTTCATTAAATTTCTAAGGTCAAGCACAAGCAAAAAGTGAACAAAATGGATAAGGAAACTGAAATGAAATTTACAGTATCTACCTGCCCTATCATGAGTAGGTAATAAATGTTTTTTTCAAAAAAGGAAATTCGAGACTGTGTACCTACAAAGGTACTTGTATTGTACCTATAGATCAAGTTTTCTAAGCCTTAACCGTCATATATCGTATTTTATTTTGTCATTTTGGACGCAAAACATTTTCAAAATTTCAGTAAAATGACCTTAAGTAAGTTGCAAAAAATCTTAAATTTAATACAAAATCAGGGACGTGCGTTCTTTCGCTCGGTAAGCTCACACATTCGGTACAAACGGAATACAAGTGTTACCCCATTTCGACAAATCTCTTCATCCTCCAACAACCACGATACCGAGGATGACGATGAATTTGAACCGGTGCCTGTGTATGATTCCGAACAGGCGAGAAGGAAGCTTCGTGCGATCCTCGAGGACAGCATGAAACCGCAGAAAAACAGATCTCCAGTCTATATACTGCAATCGTGCAAAACGAAAGCTGATAGATTAGCGAACCTGAATATTTTTGACCATTACAAAAGGATCTACGAACAACAGAATATAAGAACGTTTCCCCATCTACAACCCAACAAGATGTTACCATACGGAAGTCGCCATTCTATAGTCGTACCTTCTCACGGGACCAAGGTGTTCAAGAGTTACACGAAGAAGATTAAAAACAGCGTGCATAAACCTAGAGAAAAAACCCAATAAAATTATCAGAATTTGTAATAAAAAAAAATGTAAAATCGACCTGATACACTGTGCTTTTCTACATTTGTTACGCCAGCATGAGTTCAAGTTTTGTAGGTAGTGCAACATCAGTATTATTAAAAATAAATGAGTTATATGGCCTTTATTGTATTCGTGGAAGAGCGTAAATCTTCAAAAGGCACCCAGGCGTCCGTACGACCAGCCGGTGTCCTCGGACCTATCCACTAAAACCTCTCTACCTCAGGCCGTTATAGGAACTATTATTGTGTTGTATTAACTGTATTTGTAGTTGGTGATGGTGTCTGTGTGTGTATCTGTATGTGTATTATTTGAATTGATTGGGTAGATTTTAGTAGTCAAGGATTTCGTCAGGGAGATTGTCAATAATTTGGCACAAGGCAAGGGGACTTCGTTTTTGGATTTGCCTGTTATTCTTCTTGGGATAGAGTTTATGTTACGATGGGGTTGTTGTTGTTGATGACTCGTTTGGTGAATTTGATTTGTAGGTTAGGAATATCGGTTCGATTTTGATATTGCCATATAGAGTGTTAGAAGGAAATTTTACTGATCACCAAAGCTACTTTTATACATCTATCACTAAATGCAGTATTATTTACGAAACTGTTTGTGATGAAAGATGCTCCACGACGTAAATATTATCTGAACTTCATTGGTTCCTTAACCCATATACTACAAAACAATACTTTGTAACAAAAACTCAATATGAAATTTGGGTCTAAATCACTGCATCTCCCCGTATGTTTTAGAAAGGGTCCTTTTGATTTTTAAACTAAACGTCTGCTGAATTCCATTAAGGTCACTGAATTCTTCAATTTACAGGCTCATTTAAAGGTTTTAATTGAAAAAAAAAACTCATTCGCATTAAAAGTCGCTCATTCATAGGAAAAACCTTGTGCAAAAATATTTTATTTCATCTAATAAAAACGAAACTATTTACATACAATACATTGACTGTACTATTTCGAATTACAACATCAGTGAATAATGGTTCAAGTTCTCAAATTATTAAGTGATTTGTCCAAAACGTCTTTTTTGATTTTTGGATAGTTTGGATCAAGTGAGAGTACAGTTTGGGATGTTTCTATGGCATCTGCGTATTTCTTACACTTCATGAAGCAAAAAGCAAGTTTGTATCCAACTGCGGGATTTGATTTTCCGCCCAATTTCCAAGCATTTCCATAATAATTGGCAGCCTCCTTATAACTCTGTTCCTTCTCACTGATCAGGCCCAAATTCTCGTAAGCCTTTACACATGATTTGTTGTATTTCAAAACCTTTTTTAATAAATCTGAAGCTAAATCGTATTTCGACGATTGCATATGATAATCGGCGTGAAGGATCCAACATCTTTCCAGATACTCCGCTTCCTCGTACGTCCAGTTATGTTTGAATAACCTTTTGAGTTGTGTTTTGGCCCTTTGGGATTGTTTTAGAAGAGTGTAGGCAGAGGCTAAGCCCAAAACCACCCCAACATGCTCTTTGAGAGCATCTTCCGACGCCATTGTCACAAAATTCTCTAGAGCTGCCTCTATTTGAGTCCTTTCCTTATAAGCCAAAAGATGAAAATTGGAAAGTAACCTGAATTTCAGTTTGTACTCTGGTTCTCTTATGGTTTGCTGCTTCAGTTCCTTTAGAAGTCTCTCCGCTAAAATGGAAAAATAAAAATACTTCTGCATAAGCAAAAGGTACACAAAAATTTACCAGTTTTCAAAGCCATGGTTCTTGAATCTTTATACTCCAGGTCGTCCATATTTAAATTATCTGCAAGTATTTCGTCTCCCGTACTTAAGCATATTTCTATCATATTTACGAGGGCGTTTTTGCTCCATTCAGTATCCTGGCGGGCATTGTTAAAGCTCTTGAGTGCAACATTCGGATTTCCCAAGTACCAATGATACAGACCCGAACAGTAACAAAATCCTTTAATAATAAAAGAAAACCGGTAAATTTGAATACTTCTTAAAATAACTTCTATTGAATATATTCACTAGATGACAGACTAAAGTAAACAAGGGGAAGACAGATGTCTACTAACGTCTTTTAGCCAGTGGTATAAGGTCTGGGGAAATTTCCCTAAACCTAAAGAATTTAGATCTAGCTTAGGGAAAAAGGGATTTCAACTTAAGATAGCCTAATTTGGTTTATTTAATAAACTCCAATTTCTGATTCAATTGGTTTTTTCATCAGTTTAAGTAAATTTTTCTCTTGCCTGTATTTTTGCTAGGAAATTCTAAAGCCTGTTCTGATTTTTCGAGATACTGTGATGCTTGTTCAGTGATTCCTAATCGCCTAAGCGTTTCAATTAGTCGTTCCAATGCTTTCCAGTTTGTCGGATTCTTGCTGACTAAATTGGAAAAGTTAGCCATGGCTGTTTCAAAATCCACCTTAAATAGAGCAACAACATTAGAAAATTTATTACGTACCTACAAATTGATTTTTAATCAATTTTAGGTGCTCACTTTGTGGAAAGCGATATCTGCTAATAGTATTAGAGCAGTTTCATTGTCTGGTTCCAATTTCAGAAGAGCGTTGCAGATCTCATTACATCTTTCCATTTCGTTAATCTTAAACAGGGATAAACGGTTCTTGTAAAAGGTAATTCTTAATGAAGAAGTTAATACAGTTGTTAGTCTTTACATTTTTAATCTTTTCTAATTATACCTGAACGTAAGTTTTAGCCAGAATCGTCAACACATCCTTGTTATTCTGCTTCAGGGTGAGCGCATCCTTTTGATACATAATTGCTTGATTGTACTCGCACTGCGAGAGGTAAAGGTTAGCTATTTTCAGGTCCAGTTCTATTGCCAAATTTATTTCTTCTTCGGGAACATCTGCAACAGAGATATGGATAATAACGTCAAGGTTATTCTAGTAGCTACATTTATGGAAACTTACCCGTCTGTTCAAAAGCCAACTTCCTCCTGATCTTCGCTTGATTGGCAACTGCACCTTTCAGAGTTTCCAATGCTCCATCGATATTATTCTTCTGTATCTGGATTTCTGCTAGTAAATTTGAAAGCTTCGTTTTGTACTTTAGGGCGTCTATATTGTCGTCATTTTTGCTTTCTTCCCTCGACATTTCCGATGTGAGGAACTCTTCAGCCGTGTCCATATCATTGATCTGTATAAATAATTCTGCTAGTTCGATTTTCAATGCTTTGTTGTCGGTAGATTTTATGGCACTTTTGTAAAACTCGCAAGCTTTCTTGTATCGATGCGTCAATACGAGAGCCTTTCCCATTCGCGATGTCAAATTGGGATCGTTAGGACTCACCTTTAAGGCTTTTTCGTAAGCCTTAATTGCTTCTTCAGGCTCTATAAAGTATACAAACGACAATATAATCCAATTCAACATTCACGCATGCAATAGGCAAATTAATACATAAAAAAGTGTTTCATACCTAATATGTTTAAATAAGCATCCCCCAGTAGAACATAACCTTCTGCAGATCTGCTATTATGTACCACTTCCTTGTAGCAGTTTAAATAAGCGTTCTTGTCTCGTCTTTTATCCAACATAATGGATGCCAGTTTAATTTTTGCTTGAACATAACATGGGTCGTCGGGTGCGATTTTTTCCAACATGTTAATGGCAGTCCTTGTCTCCCCGTTCATCAAGGCAAAATCGGCACTCATCAGAAATACACTGGATTCATCGGGAGTTTCCTTGAACTCTTCCACAGCTTCTTGCAACAGATCGGCAGCTTTGTTGAACTGATTGGTCTTCAGGTAAACTTGCACCAACTCTTTGTATACGGTCACCCTCTTCAGTAGCGTTGGCATTGAATCAGATAAAGATTTATTTTTGGAATTGAAGAGTTTCAGAGCTGTCTTTAAATGTTTAATTGCTTCGTCGTACTTTTCGTGTTTGGTTGATACGTTTCCCATAAGAAAATGGTACAGCGCACTGTCTCGTATTGTAAAGTCGTTACTTAGACCCATTTCCAAATTGTGCATAGCAGATTCGTGGCATCCTTGTTTGATCTGGGTTTGTGCAAGCAAAAGGTAGGTATTGCTGGAGGTATTCTTTAAATCGTTTATTATCCGATTTAAAATATTCTGAGTTTCGGTCAGTTTTCCAGCCATGTAATTCAATTTGGCGAGTAAAAATGTCGCGGAAAAGAATCCCGGACAGGCTTTTACTGCACCTTTAATTATTTCAATAAGAAATAATATGTCGGGATCGGCAGCTATTTTATGTTCATCTTCCGACGTGTTTTGAAGAGTGTTTAACATTTCGTTAACGAGAACCAATAGAAAATCTGGATCTAGGACACGAAGGTATCTTGTAGAGAAGGAATAATTCTCGACCTTCTTTACTTGTCCTTCGAGAGCTTTTCTAAGTAAATTCTTGGATTCGGCAGAACTACTTGCTATTTTTGAAGCCAAGTACTGAAGTAATGTTGACTCAGTCTCCTGGATCTCTAGAAGAAACTCTATTTGACTCACCAATTGATTCGTTTTTCCGTTTAAATTTAACTCACACAAAGTCATCTCCGTCAATGCAGAAACAGAGGATTCGTTTATTTTGACAGCGAGCTTATAGTATCTAATCGCGTCCTGGAGTTTTCCTTGAAGATAACACTGATAACCTAATTCCGCCAAATATTCGTGTTTATTGGGGGAGATCTGAACGGCCATTTCGATTAGCCTAAATGATCTTGTCAGTATGATGATACTCCTATCGCAGATTCGCGAATACAATTTTGCGCAATCGTTTAAAAATGCGGAATTTTTCGGTTCCAACTTCTCCACATAATTCATCATTTCGTCGATGCAACTTGCAGCTTCGTTATAGTTGGAATCCACGCAAATCAGCTTTACAATATGGAGATTCATGGACTCCAAGTGCGGTTTCTCAGTATCCTGCAGGCGTCTGTACACTTCAGCAAACTGTTCCCAATTTTGAGACACGAAGAAGACCTCCAACTTCTGCACCAGGTGGAAATCGGCATCAAAATACTGGGATGAGCCCTTATTGAGGAGACTTAGGGCTTCTTCGTACTTTCCGGTATTACAAAAGCACTTCGACAATCCAATGATCGCGTCCATGCCACCTTCCTTCTCAAGGGCCATCTCAAAGGAGTCCCTCGGCTTGTAAGAAATTTTAAAATCGATTTCTGACAATCGCAACTCGATCCATCCTTTAAGCACCAAGTTGTAGTATGTCGGATTGAGTTTGATCGATTTTGTGACATACTCATAAGCCGTTTGGTAGTTTTCGAACAGGAAAGAAACGTACGCGGATTCCATCAAATCTTCAGAATTCGCTGTTAATTTACAGTCCTCTATCTGTGAGTAAAGATGAGGAAAAATACTGGCATCTTTCAATTCACCGACCTCGTAAATGTAAACTAAGGCTAAAAGTGAAGCTAACCGAAAATCGTCCTCCAATTGAAGAGTTTGTAACTTGGGAACGCTTTCGTGGAAACGATTGCACAGCAAAAGGGCAACGGCCCTATAGAAGTTAAAAGAGAGGTTCCCTTTGAATTTATTTACACCTTCTTCGCATGCTTGCAACATTGAATGATATAGTTTTTCGCGCGAATAATAGTACACTTTGCCCTTTAACAAAATTTCATCCATCTTAAATGACAACAACGGAACGAATTAATAAAACTAATTGCTTTCGACGTAATACTCTTTATACTTGTCCTTGTTCTTCTCGTAAACATTCTTCAAGAAATCACAGCTAATTGACATTTTCTTATTTCTGCTTGCAATGTAGTCGAATGTTTTCTGTAACACACAATAGTTTAAATACAGTATTAACTTATACATAATCACCCTGAATTCAACATTAAATGAAGAAAGCTCTGAACTTTTTTCAGGTAAATATTCTTGGACTTCTTAAAATTTTACCTCAAAGAAGTTGGGTGTGTTCACGTCATTTAAATATTTTAACTTCACAAATTGAAGAAGTGTTATCAGATTAATATTCAATACTCATACAGAGTAGGTAAGTCATTTATCTTGAGGCAATAAAATATCTTATTTGGATATCATAATTTTGGGAAAGAACGTTTAAAAGGTTAATTTGCTGTGACCTTGAGTATAGTGTCGACCTTGACATTCAAGGTACATTAAAATGACTCACCCTGTATGTATATCGCCTACATTTACAGTTCTCTACAAATAAAAAAGGGAAGAAAGCTGACCCAGAACCACATAAGTTTATTTTTTTAATAAATAAAAAGGAATTTTCATAGAAAAGCACACCAGAACCGCATATGAACTTTCAGAAGAGTTTTTAAAGAATAAAAAGCAACTAATGAATGAATCTTTATGGTATTGCTTTTAATTTATTTAAAGTAGTCTAAAAGACCTCACTTGATTTACTAAATTTCATGAATATGATAAACTTTTATTACATTCAGAGAATTGTTAGCTTTAAAGATTTATAAATTAACTGATGAGATATAAAAATGCAAAGTATTTAATATTATACAGCAGAAAGTTCCTTGAAATTTTATGAAACGATTTTAAATAATGTGGTATTTTAGACTGTTCAATTTCCAACATATTTTTGTTATTTGAATATGAATCTATAAGAACATTTTTTTGATATTCCTACCTCTGCCAAAATTTTTCCAATCCCTTTACCTTTATAATCATCAGGTACAAAAGTATAATGGAGTTCATAAACGTTATCACTTAACCTGTATTCTACGAAAGCCTTTTTCGAATTTAACGGAATATAAAATATATGTTCTTGTTGATTTTCCGTTAAATTATAAGTAGTTTTTAATGCTCTACGTGCAATTTCTACAAGCGGTCGGACAGACAGATATGAAGCCATGTTAGACAACTAAGAGGCACTAAAATACAAAAAGAAACGCTGAAATAAGAGCTAAAAACAATTAATATTTTTTTAAATATTCAAAAATATCCTTACTGTATTAACAGAAAAAAAAAACAGAAAACGTCAGCTTAACGTTCGACTTTCTGTTTGCGTTCGTGGAATTCGGTCTGTCGCCTAGTAACATTCACAAGACTCAAGCAGATGTGTTGTCGACGAATCCGAATCTTGTCGAACTATTCTTTGAATAAAAAGTAAATTACTAGTTTCAGAACCAGGCTCATATCTGAAATGCTGATATGTTCATATTTGAAAACACTACACATTTTTCCTAAAGTCAGTAATTTTCTTCAAATCTTTCGAAATTCGTTTAAGAATAGCTTTAAAGATTCTTCTTGACTTATTGTCTTCACTGGGTCAATAACACAACACTTCGGCAAGATTCGGAATCGAGACTACCACATTCTCTTAGACTCTCATTCATTGTCGAAGTTGATTTTGATTGGTTGAGTTTGTAGTTCTAAAGGGGTAGATGCATTAGTCCCCAAATCTATTAAGTAATTAATTTCATTGTACATAGGTACCAGAAATAGTTGTTAAATACTGAAGTGATGAGGAAAACATATTTATTATACTATAGATTTTTATTTCTGTAAAATATGTTAAATACTGCTATCAACTTATTCCAACGTAAATTCAACTTCAATTCTTTTGCATGCCTCATGTTTCCTTTCTACTTAAATTTTATTGTTTGCCTTACCTGGAAATTCATCTTCACATAATTACCTATACCCGCAGGCATCCTTGATTTACCGATAACTCGTTTTCCCTCGATACATTGTCTAAATTTCTATGAACTCATGTCTTCACTGTGCACAGTATTTTTCAATTTAAAATATTATTTCTATTCAGTAGCAATTCTACCTTGTAAATACTCCGATTTGAAATCAGTGGCATGCCTTCAGGTTAAGTCTGATTCAATTCCAGGCCTATCTGCCCTAGTCCAAATTCTTCCGTGGATCTCTTGTTTGGGCAATAATGATATACCACAGATGATTACTTTATTCATTACTCTTCTATCCGTTTCATCTTTCTCACTCCAACCACCACTTCTTGATGAGCTCCTTCCACACTATCTCCCAGATTTGCACCATAGTGTAAATCAGACTACCCGCCCACCAGCGTTACCTAGGGAGAGTGAAACACCAAAAAGTCTCTGTAAAAGTTTTCCATCTTCTTCTGTATAAAAACTGTACTATTACTATCCATTTACGTAAATAAAAATTTAATTGACTTCTCCATATCTTCATCATTTTATTAAAAAAAAAGAGAAACAGTAGACGTATGTATAAATATACCAAAACATAAACTACATTTTACAAACTATATCTTTACAATCACAATCGACTACCTGCAGTAGAATTATTTATAAGTACATCTGAATTATAAGATTTCGATTTTGTACAAAATAAAATATTATTCATTCTTCTTCCACGAGTAAAATGGTTGTACTATCGTATATTATTTTCTATCCACGACACAACGGTTTCCATATTAGTATCAGCCCATGCGATTCGAGTTTTGATTCTTTCTACTACATTCAACATGACGGGTGATATTTTTCCCAACTTGGTTTCATGCTCCTTGTACAACATCGTTAACTGCAACAACACAAAAAAATTTTAGTGTTCTATTCTAAATTTTTCCCGTTCTTCATCCGATGACTTGGAAGAGAAACTGAATAGAAACTCACATCTTCCAAATCCGACTTGGTCGATAGTTTTCCGAAAAATTCGTTTATAATACTGATAAGAATCGTATAATCTTCATCCGCAAACGTGTCATGGATCTTCTGCCAATTTTCCCGCACAAACTGAACACCAACGTCGATTCCTACGGGATGGGTTATGGATTTCCAGACGTACGGGATATCCTGCAGTGCTACACTTCCATTTATGGATTTGAATAAGTATCTGTAAGAATTAAGCACAACAGACATCAAAAAAGAAATACTTTTTATAATTTATTGTAACCTTTTAATTATCCATGGATCTCTCGAACACCCTAGGCTGAGATACATTATTTTTAGATCTGCAGGTGTTGTTCTATAAGATAAAGTTCTGTTCCAAACGAATTCCCATTCGCTTTCTCCGCCCATTTTTATGGCGTTACACATCACAACTTTTCGGAATGTATATGGTATTCTACAATAAATGCGTTTCCTAAAAACGTACTTTATGCAAGAAGGGAATCATTTTTTACGGATTATCTTTATCCGGGTCGGACGTTTGAGTCCATTCATCAAATTTATTTTCGGCCCACTTCAAGCATGGTTGATGACGTGCAAAACATGCAGCTTCAATTATACGTTTCCTTAGCTTTTTTGTATTGAGTGACTCATTTGTTTTTTCATTAAATCCCATTTCTTTAAATGATACCTTTATTAATTTCCTGACGTATGCCTAAAATGAGATATAAAACTTAATCATTACAAAAGTGATAACTCATTCTACTTGGATTGTCTAAATTTTAGTTTGGACGACCTTCTGATCATGATGATGATGATGAAAGATTCGATGAGCATATAATTATTTGATTAAAAACATCTTTTTTCGATATCACTATATAGTATAAAACAAATTCGCTTTCCCGCTGTCTGTCCCTATGTATGCTGAAATCTTTAAAACTACGCAACGGATTTTGATGCGGTTTTGTTTAAAAGATAGAGTGATTCAAGAGGAAGGTTTATATGTATAATACATGCATAATATAGTAGGGAAGCACTGATAATTTTAGAGGTTTCTAATGTGATGTCGTAAATAAACACATTTTTTGCGCTTACATTGCAAACGCTGGCTGAACCCTACGAGATAGATCAAAATAATGTACTACAATATTGTACATCTTAAAAGGGTCTACAAAAAAGTCCGCGATGGTATATGTCTATCTCTTAGGGATAACCCACAATAACCATTTTTATCCTTTACTTTTTATGAGAAATAATGACTTATTTACGAAGCGATTGTAGGCAATACAGCATTAATTCTTATCCAATTAAGTACCTTAAATACATTGTGCATTTAATATAGATCAATATGGCCCTTTACAGCATGTAATTTAAATGAATATTTTCGAAGATATTACAGATTTAAAATGCAGGGACATAGCGGTTGCGGCGGTACCGGCCGGGAGGCCGGTTTGTATTGTCTAATGACAAAAAAACTGTGAATGTTGTATATAAAGACATGCTGTAGTATATTTAGTATGTTCAGGGGGTGTCTTTTGAATATTTCCCCTTCTCGATAATAATCTAAACAAAAGAAAAATATACATATTTAGTAACAGCATTGCACCCGTGCGAAGCTGGGGCGGGTCGCTAGTTTCCTATAAAGGTACCTGCAATTTTCCAAAATGCATAGATCTTCTTATGATATATTCTATATTATGAAAACTCCTCATGGCAGCTTCCCATGGAGCAAATTGTCTTTCATTCTTCTCCAAATATTTCGTAAAGTCTAAAGGTATTTCGTAACTTATGATGCCTTTGTAAGCCAATTCGAATGCGTCGGATAGCAATTGTGCGCGACAAGATGAAGGTATCTCCGATGGATCTGAGTTAATTTGATTCAAAAGTTTGTTCCAATTTTCATTATCATAATTCACTCTATAGAACCCTAAAAATTGCATATTTTATTCAAGAAGCAAAGGCACAAGACTGTTTATATGTTCACCAGCATCAGCATTAAAAAGTATCCACGAATCATTAGAATTAGAAAGTTCAATATCAACTTTCTTATCTTTTTCACCATTTAACCAAACTCTGCCAAGTGTTGAATTAGATTTTGTTATATAAGAGAGTGGAATTATCCAAACATTATCGCTGTCAGTGTTTCCTTCCACAAATCTCTGCTGATGTAATAAAATCTGACCAGACGTATTGATGGAGTTGATTGTTACTATTGGATAACCAGCTTGTCTAGTCCAACTATTCATGAAGGCTTTAACAGTGATGTTTTCCGGTAATATCTTCTGATCAGACACGATCTTATCTAAAGCATTCCAGTATTCTTCTTCACTTGTTGATTCAAAGGACCTAAATTTTCATTGTCTTATAAAATCATGATGTATATGATTAATCATAATAACAACCAGTGATAAGTAGATTAAATGTTCACTGTTCACACATCTTTAAAACTCAAGAAGGCGTCAACAATTAAACACAAAAAGACTCAGCATAATAATCCTTCTGGATCACAGCTCCAAGAATAATATAGAATTAGAAAATAAAATAATCCAGAATTTACCATTTCTTTATGAAATCCTGGGTTCCCTTTTTGAAAACGGATCCTGATAACGTGAAGTTTAGCATTCTCAGTAAAGCTGTTCCTTTATTCACTATACCACTATTATACATTTCTTTTAGTTGACCAATATTTTCAATACCATAGTACAATTTCTTAGTTGTTTTCAAACTATCAGCATATAAAATAGGTATGTTATCAATTACATATGTGTCCAAAAAACCAATCTCAGAATCTATCTAAAATTTAACACGTATAAAAATGGATACTCCATATCTATAACAAATTTATAACTCGGTCCATAACAGTATTTATATGTACTTACAGACTGTACAACACCAAAAGCCAAAAATTTTCCTATGCCTTCCCTTAACCAGAAGTCTGACCAATTGCTCATCGTGACCAATTTACCAAACCATTGATGCGACAGCGGTTCGGCCAAATTTCGTAAAATGTTCGACTTAATTTCCCAATTTTCTGATTTTGGATCCACCAGAAGTGCTTGATCTCTATAGAGTATTAAAGTGAAAATAAAATATTAACTATTCTCATAGCTTAAATAGTTTGCTATGATAAAGGAATACCTAAACGCCACCAAACCCCAACTTTCAACAGCATCTTCAACCAAATCGGGTACCACAACAAAATCTAATTTTGGTAAAGGGTATTTCATTCCAAAATAGTCTTCCAGATAGTTCAATGCTTTCACCGACATTTCAGCTGAATAGTTTGATTCGTGTAGTTTATCCACAGCCCATATTCGAAATTGTGGGGTTTCTCGAGAAACTTCTCTATTATCCAAATCACCTACCGAGAAAGCTAAGGAGTATGTTGTCATTTTTGGAGTTTTTACAAAATGATCCCAGACCCAGCCGTCTTCCGATCTATAAATTTAAGAATAAAGTAACAAATCGAAACATTTTCCTAGAAGCTCTCACTTATTCTCAGTTTCTTTTAAAGGCATGTTAGAAAGTGCAGTCATATTCTCTTTCCGGGCTATACTTATTTCAAAAGTAGTTTTCAGTGAAGGTTCATCAAAACACGGGAAAACGTTTCTGGCATATACAGGCATAAAATTGGTATTGATAATCCATCTATAAGGGAAAAGGACATTCTAGTCACACTTGGGCCTTTTTATTTCTATCAAATTACCTTTCCTTTCCTGACGAATCAATATAAGGCGCTTTATATAAACCAACTAAATGGTCGGAAATGTTTCCCGAAAATTTTATTTCAATGGTATAATTTACCTCAACTTCCAACAGTTGTCCAACAGTGATTACAAGTTTTGTGGAAACAGGGATGTTATCTATAAATTCTACTGGAACTTCAACGATATTACCTTTGGACAGCACGGGTGATGAAGAACTGGCATTCACTTGCTTTGATTTTTCAGTGGTCGATGAAGCAACAGTGGACGATTTTGGTGTTGTTGCACTTGAAGGCAAGGTGGTTGGAAGACCATTATCAGAAAGTGGAGAGGCTGTTGTTGCCTCTTTTGATGTAGATGTTGGAATGTCTTCGGTGGTTGAACTTGCCGTAAAATTAACCGATTCTTTCGTTATAACGCTAGTGGTGGAAACACCTTCTGTAGGTTTTTGGGTTGTTGAAGGAATAGCTGAAGTTGGAGCAGTACTACTATCGGAAATATTTTCTTGTTGTTGTTCTTGAGTAGTCATGTTACTTGGAGCTTCTTTTACTTGGGAAAGGGATTTTATTAGTATTTTTTTGGTATAGACTCTGACATCGGAATGTCCAATTTGAATGTTTCCGGCATTCATAACGATTGTTTTGGTTCTTTTAGTGCATCGAATCCCGATGATAACTTTTCCTACGAACGTAAAATTCTTTTCCGGTTCTTCCTCTTTTAAATACGGCTGAATTCGTAATTTATAAAACGTCGGATATACATGAGATGGTAGGCGTAGAGAGTCGGATGTCACGCTTTCAATCGACTTGTTGATAAGATTCTCAATGTCAGGTTTTTCTGACGACACCGCCTACAATTTTTTTTGGAAATTACGTATAAATATTCGAAATAGATGACGGTCTCACCTCATTTTCTTTACTGTTAGGTCCGTAATAATACATTAAGAGTGCGAGAACGATGAAACAAGCAATTGCCAAAAAGACCAATAGTAATGCCCTCTTGGTGGTAACAAAGCATCCACCTTGTCGTTCGTACTCATTATTTTCACCCTCTGCTGGCAAAAACTCACTCCTGCTGGTCGTCACTGCAATGCTTCTTTTCCCCATGACACTCACTTGTTATTTTTGTTTTTATGGGTAGATATTATGGTTTGATTCACAGACTAAACCTACAAGTGCAAACATAAAAAAAATTGTAGCTTCTCTCTTGTTTGAAGGTACTCCTACTTAAGATGCAATGCTGACTAACATGTTTGTAAATCAAAAATTTAATAGCGCATTGTTTTCATATCAGATATAACAAATTACATAAAATACCGTTCGCTACGAGCAGTTATATCGGCATGGCCACCTAAACGTATTAATTGAGGCTGGATAACGATAAATTACTTTTTTACAAGTGTAATTATACATGCATGTATGTGCTAGTATAACAAGCATTGAAAAATGTTATTGGCATTTTTATTGTTTTATGAAAACTTGCTTACATGCCTGTACTCACTTTTCTACCTACTCCATGTTGAAAAATTGAGAAAACTTTTGATAAGAACACAACTAAGAGACCGAGCAATAGTAAACTTTTACTGAAATCGGACCTGAAAACCGTTGTATTTTTATGATTTGGAAAAGGTGTAAAACATTATTCAAACAATTGTTGCAATCACATGATCCTAAGTGAGGTAAACATAATAATTATCACAGTACTGTACTTCAATAAAGTCGTTAATATTGTGTTAACCCTGAAATTATTTCCTAATATTTGGTTTTCTAAGCAGTTTTTCTTATATAAGAAAATGATTATGTGTCCATTTTTTCACAAATAGCTATATAATGAACTTTCGTTTGAATAAAGTAAACTTTTCGGAAAACGATATTATTACTACTACTTTTTATAACCCTTTAAGCATTATAAACTATTATGTACTTACGTTAAAAAAGAAAGTGTAAAAAACTTCTTCAGCAGCTTAACCATTCAAAATTAATAAATGTATAAATATTTGAATTATTGAGTCTTGGTGTTCTTATGATTAAAGTCACTGCTAAAATAGTACTACATCATGTACCCACCTGAAGATCAAACAAGATCTTTTCCATTTAAAAAAATCGATAA